ACACAGACAACCCCTCGTCAATATGCGTTTTTCGCATTGCATTGCTGCAAAAAACGCATAAAAAAAGGGAAAAAAACGCGTTTTTTGTAAAGTATAAATTTTTGCGATCACTTCGCAGTTACAGACATTTGACGAAAAGGGCAACGCAAAACTACGTGAGCCACGCAGAACTGTTCCGTTTCGTGGAACTATACGTTACTGTTCGGTGAGCGCACATCGTCGGGACGAGCAAGGACGACACGACGATTTATGGTCCCTTTTCTATATGACTGCAGAAATGATTCTCGGCTCACTGCCTTGGTACATTTTTCCGAGTATTTCAATTCTGATGGTAAATTTTCAAGATTCAGATTTTTTCGCGCCTTTAAATTTGTTGTCCGTACAACAAGCATCTTTTGTTTCATTTTGCGAAGTATGATCGCCGATGAAAATGGATAGCAGCGGTTTCAGTGGAAGGAATGATGGTGCATCATTAAGACAAAAATACATGTATTTTTCAGTAAATGTATAGATAATGTATACTGCACAAGTAATAAAATGAAACTAACTTTCGAAATGCCACTAAGTTGCTCTCTTAGAATGTAAAGTGCATTTGCCTGTTTTTTTTGCAAATGGCCCTAAAAGGAGCGATTTTATCTTACCTGTAAATTAAATGCAATATGTTTGTATAATTTAGCAGCCGTATTTATAGGTGTTATCCATACAAAATTTTGACGCCATTATATAGATAATCAATGCTTTATTATCAGGGCATAAAATCTCCCGGCATAAAAGTTTTTCCGCCTTATAAGTCGAGCTGCTTCTAATAATAACATGCTATAGTAATTGTAGGAATACGAGACAACAGCTGGAGCTTTAATGTATCAAATCGGGCTATTTTATGAACAAAGGGATACTGATTACTTTCTAGTCGATGTTGCTGCGAAGAGATTATATAAACAGTGCATCCATCCTTTATTTTTACATCCTGATTTTGCATTTTCCAATGTTTTATCTCGTTCTTAAATGGATGTGATTTAAGGCGAAGAATGGATCGGGAGCATGCAGAAGCTTGCAAAAAAAGCTCTGAAAAAGAATTGGTATCACAGCTTCCTGTCGAGTTCCATCTTTA